CACTGGCACATCCCCCGTTGGACATAAACCAGGCTGTTGTCTGAGAATCCAGCTAATGAACTTTCCTGTGGTGGAAACTCTCCTGGAACTGGCAACCAGGGTTTGACTGCCTGCCTGACCTCCTTCCTCACATTGCCCGGGTACTGTAAACCCAATTTTCCCCAGAACAGGTTTCTGAGATACCATTAAACTCTTCAGCAAACTGATGGGTACAAGCAACAGGCACACAGTGACACATAACAGCATTATCGAGCCTCTGTGAACATGCCGTTAATTTTACATGGAAGGAAGGAGCTTCGGAGAGCACCGGCCAGAGAAAAATTAAGAGCTTCCCAAATGCAAAGCTCTTCTTGCACTTGCCTTTGCAATGTATGACCTTAGAGAAGCGTATATAGGAGAGGAATATAAAGAATACTGAGGAAAGCGGGATTCTCTATGAAGCATTAAACTCCTGTGGCAGGGAGATGTGCCTCTAACGAAGTTAATAAAAATGGCTGAAGAAAGCAAATCACTCAGCTCCTATCCCTTTATAGATTTCTGTTCCAAATCATCCTCCTTCGGGGACTGTGGAGACCTGCCAGCTAATTTTGTGGACAGGATGGCTTCTAGGCTTGCCTCTGATCTGCAGATGATATTATTATTTCTTCATAATTGTTTACTGTATAAAGTCAACATCTTTCTCTCCAGAGGGAGGTTGCTCAGAGTCACTCATGAGAGCCTTTTAGCTCACAGTTGTGGGCCTGCTGTGGTCTTGACAACATACTCACGTCAAGGTTAATGTCATGTCAAGGCACTATTAGTAGCTCCTTTCCTTCCGCGGTTATTCTTTCAACTGTAAGAATATTAATGCAATTTAAAGTTACTTCTAGAGCATTCTTGGCTGGCCTTTAGGGTTATTGCAATTACACAGACAGAAGTTTCAAGGTTTCTGAGAGTACTGTGGGAGTAATTGCAATTGTGGGGAAAAACTACATTTCAGTTTGTGCTCTGAAAGCACAGCGCTGAAAGCAATCACCTCCACATTCAGTCCCGGCTGAGAGACGGACTGCCCGTGACCTCTGTCGTGCCACCTGAGCTTCATATTGCAACTTTCCCATTGCATCCCCATCTGTAAAAGTGAGATAATGCTTTTTATCAACTTCATGGGGATTTTATAACTCGATGTTCATGAAGAGAACAGAACTGCAAGCCTTTCTGTGCTACTAGTAAGTGCAAAACTTCCCTGAATTTTGGAGAACAAAGTCCCAACGCAGAACCCTCAGACCACACCGAGAGGAGATGCAGCTCCTCTTCTTTTATTACAAAGTAAATAATTTAAGAATAATCTTGCTTACTGTCTTGCAATCATCCTTTAGATGTCCCTGGGCAGAGCTGGAGGCCGCAAGGTTGCATGTCAACAGTTGGTTTGTTAACTGGCTCAGTAAGACCAAGGGCAGCAAAGCACCTGACCGTGCTTCTGCCCTGGGCAAGACACTCCTCTCTGTGTTATTCCAATACCAGAGTCAGGCTTATGTAACGGATTAAATAAATAAAAAAAGAAATGTATCTCTATTCTTTGTCCTACATTTATGATCTTACAAGTGTATCCGTAGCGCACTACCCATGCTGCTTCAAGGCCTGACTTGGACTTGGACAGATTTATTCTTGCGCAGTCTCCCTCCCCCAGGGCCACCGCTGGCCACAGAGTTCCCTATATTCAAAAGAACCAAAATGCTATACTCTTCTTGAAAAACATTTGGACACTCTAATTGTCTCCCCAGGTTTCTATGACAACCACAGCAACATAAACAGCCTTGCTGGCAGCCACAGGAGACTGAAATCTCTGCTCCCTTCCCTCCCCTCCCCAGAACTTCTCAATTTAGAACATACCATAACCAAATAAATATGATTAACAATAAACATAGAGGTGGTATGTAGTACACCAGGCTGGCACTGGGGAAACTTCTTGCAAATAAAAATACATACAGTATTTTATGATAACAGTCAAAATGTTGCCTGTTACGTCAGTGTTATCGAAGTACCTTGGGATAAACTGTGAAGAACAGTGCAAAGCTATAAATATATAAACACGAGGGTTTTCTATGTCAGCTTGCACAGCTGTAGAGAGCCTTTTAAAAAATATGACAAGGCCTTCGCTGTTGGTGCCTCTAAGCACCTCTCACCTTGCTGGTAGTTTACACATCAGGAATAAATAAGCCCCTGAGCAAACGTCGGGACAGTTGGGCTGCAGAGCTATGTGGCCGCATGCACGTCGTCTGATGTGACTGTAGGCACCTCTCCATGGTGGCAGATCCCAGCTTTCCAGCAGGAAAATCATAAACAAAATGTGATCGCAGCAGTGGTGAAATGCTCTGCACGGCGCCGCCAACCCGAGCCCAGCAGAAGCCATTTCTCTGAACCAACCTCCTGCATCAGGCAAGGTAGTCAGAGGGGCTGCTTTTGCTGACACCCAGGCAAAATGAGGTCCAACAAATGCTGAACAAAGAGCTCAGATCTTCCTTCTCTCCTGAGCAAAATTAATGGCAAAATAAATTGGCCGTATGAGGCCAATATGACTCTGGAGGTTTTAAGCCATTTAAACCCATTCAGCTGATACTGGATGGCATGAAGCCATCAGGATACACCAGAGTTATAAAGAGGCTCCATGTGATAATTACGGTTATCAGCCGTACACAGATCACAAAGTCATCTTTCAAATTATTAAACCAGTTTTGGATCGTAAAGGTGCCCTGTGTTTTTAAAGGAGCTGCGGCTGTATGTCTAGCTTGTGACAAAGTAACTTTGTGAAATGAAGGGGTGTGATTTCAAGCATCAGCACGGACGTAATTTCTTCACCAGTGCTGTTAGTTTGTCTTAGGCACTTGTTCTCCCCATGCTGCCAGAAAGATACAGACGACGCCTGCTGCTCCGAGACACAAGTGGGGATGTAACCACGCCGCTTTCACTGCAGCAATCTTCTCACTTGGCGGGGAAACCCTACGGCTTTGTGGGACCAATTTTGCTGTAAAGCAGACTCAAGATTTGAGGAAGCAGAGCTGGGGGTGGGGGAAGGGATGGGGATGTGAATGTGAACCCTTGGAAGCCAAAATCTATGGGGATTCCCTCTGGACCGCTATGCAGAAATACACATAGCTGGGAGGAGGAGGAGGTGAAACGCTTGCCTGTTCCACAGGGCTTGGAAGGCAGAGAAGGTGCCACCTGACATTTCACAGCTTGAAGGACTGGCTTTCAGAAAACTGCTTGATTATACAGACCAGGTGGAGACGAGATTAGAAATTAATGAAATAAACACTAGAAATGGGGGTGAACGTACAATCTTTGGAAAAAGATATGTGGAATTTCATTGGTTTTCTTTCTTAAGGCAGAACTTTCACTCCAATGACTACCAATGTAACATTAAAATTGTTCAGTTTTCTCTTGATAAGTTTTGAACAGGGTCCTTATACCATGGAATTATTGCACGATATGGAAATATTGTATTTTGCAGTATGGAAAGGAAATATTTCTTCTTTCCTACCTAATTTGCTCCAATAGGCTGCATAGCAAGAAGGGTTATGTGAGAGTGAATATAAAAAGATGACTGATGCCCACATTTACTGTATGTTATACAGTAAGACTGCCTAATAAATAAAGTTTTATTTTATTTATCAACTATTCGAGCTAACTACAGACATGCTACTAAAACTACAGCATATATGAAATAAATGTTAACTCGGAATACAAAGAAAGATCTGTTAATTTACAAATATGAGAGTCCAAGTGCTGGAAAGCGTGTCAGGATATTAGGTAATATGCAAAGTCTGCACCACTGAAGGTAGTCACAGAAAAAGCAAGAGGGATGAAATTTTGTAGTTTTCACAGTTATTTATTAATAAACAGTAACAGACCCAAAATATTCACACCCTTTTAAATTAGGATTACAAAGGATATAAGCTACCGTCTTCTGCATCTAGAAAGAACTACCAGGCATAACATTCTAATAGTACTGAAATCAAAAAGAGGGCAATTTTAGAGTTAATTCAAATTAATGATTTTTCAATTAGTAGATATTTTCATACCTTCCAACCTCTGTCCAATATGACTCAATGCCTCTAAGGCACTTGGTTTTAACTTCTGAGAAATACATATGAAAGTCAAAAATAATAAGAAGCCCACACCACCACACAAACCTTTGCATATTTCCCAAGTATGTTTATGGCGTGTGGGTGGCATCTATGAACTATGGTGAGGAGGTTTTATCAGCAATAATTACACCTTTTATCAGCAGGATTTGATTCCCTTGTGGCACTGAACGATTCTAAACACTAATCCAAGCCCTAAGCATTATTAAAGTATTGATAAAGCCTGTAAAGCACATTGTTCCAACTCATAAAACTTAAGAACAGTCAATACTTCAGGAAACTTGAAGATTGCTGTGACTTCACAGGAAATCTTTATGCTGCTTAAGAAAAAGACGTGTGATGTATTCTGCAGTTGCATTGGGACTTTTCTATGAATGCACACATTTTTATACCCCAAGTGCAATGTATGGCATGACGCCGCTCCTAAGCACAGGAACACGGAAATCTGTGGCCACAAACCATGCTTTTGACAATTTGAAATTTTCAGATTTTTATAATTTTAGGTTATTCAGCTGAGCAACTTGCTTTCTTTAGTAGGGCAATATTAAAAGAGTGGTTTAATTAAAGCATTTAAAAAGAAAATTAATGCAGAGGGCTTTAAGTGTGTACCTAGGGAATACACCCCCCAAATGAATGAAGACATCAGGGAAAAGTAATTTTCCTAATTGCTAATGTACTTTTGCCATACTTTCTAAGTGGCAGGCTACACCAAACTGGCTGCACACATCAGGGTCAATTTATTAGAATGTAATTGCCCATTTTTGACAATGCTGAGTTATTTTTTTCTTCCACAACATCCTAAGAGTAAGACTTTATGTAAAAGCAAAAGTGGTCTTAATAGCAGAACACAAGACCAGAAAATCTTGAAAAGTGACATACCTTCCCCATGCTGCTTTCATTGTAGAATCTCTATCAACAGGAATGCATGAGGACTCAACAACACTTGATTTATTCAATTTGTAGCAGAGACCACAGTCTGGATCTAACATACATCCATTGCAGTAACTGAAAGAGAAAGAAATAAATACTTAAGCAACACTTTATTCATTTGTACATGTCAAAACCAACAGCATCTCCTAATCAATCTCGGGATGCACATAGTCAAGTTGTCAGAGCTGGAGACAAGATAATAGAAACTGCCCAAAAACTAATACAGATTGCTTTTGCCTTCTTCTGTACCACATTTTGGTGGCCCAGTTGCAAATCTCCCAGTGACATCTGATCAAACTGTAGGAGAATTCACTCATGGAATGAATTTTAATTAAAAAAAAGACAGATTGGAGTTGAAAAGAAAGAATCATACCTCATACCTAATAACCAAACTAGGATTTGGGCACATACAGACGTGGGAGTCAGTCTGAGATCACGACACCATGTGGCTCCATGTCGGAACTAGGCACCTGAGTTCCCATTATATTCAATGGATGGAGTCAATATGTCAGTGGAGCCAATTCACATACAGGCATCTAGTGTCCAGAAATATCCCACCTGCCCTTCACCTGCCACTGCAGAGCGCGCAGTGCTCTTGCAGATCATTCCCGTGCATCACACTTGCCAGCTCTGTACAGGTATCTCTGATTTCCTTGGTAGTCTCAAAGAGCAAGAGATGCTTACATTTAGGCAAAGTTTCCTCAATGCAACCTTGCAAGCAATTTGTGTGACGAGACAGTAAAACTGTTCTCTAGACCCACTGGTCGCACTGACCACATCCTCACTGGCTACTGGGATCCTAGACACCAAGCGCCCTACAGATACCTCACTTAGGTGCCAGTCTAAAACCTGCCTCTGAGAACAAACTGAGGGGATTTGGACATGAGAGCTATGAAGGTGTTCCAAAACTCTTCATGCAGTGCAAGTTATCTGAAAGCTTCTGGCACAAGCTTCCCCAGACCTTGCAAACGTTCAAGACATTGCTGCTGTGGTTAAACTTCCCAGGTGTTTATCTTCCCCAGAAGCCATCTCAGACTCAGAGATACATCCTCATCAGTAAGCCTCTGATGTATTCTAAGCGATAACTTTAGGAGTTAAAAACAGGAGAATGAACAACCATAAAACACGGAGTAAGTCTGGAAATTTTAAATTAAAATTTGAAATGTAACATCTGGAAACGTATAATTAAGGTGATCAAAATAGCTTCAACATATATCCCTGTAACAACAAAACCAAGGAAATAATCCTTTCTGAGTGTATATCTTTATCATAACAATGGCTTAGTGAATGAAGAAATAATCTGCCTAAACTACTATATGAGTAAAAGTAAAAGTAGCGGTATAACAAAGTCCCAAGAAACTAAATCAGTAAAGTAGATAATATGGATTTTAAAAGTCTGACAATACATGTTTAAAATCTAGTCATTTGAATTATTTTTTTCCTACGATGTTTCTAAAAGAGTTATAATAAGGTCAATTCATATGGTAGTTGGCAAAAAAGAGGGCTGTGAAAGTGTTAAAAGCAATGTATTCATTTGCATTTTCCTACTTCTTCCAAGTTTCAGAAATCTGTGCTCTTTGTTATTGTGTGCTTTCTAAATTATCACATTACTGCAGAATTTCCATGTTGTCTACTTTTTAGAAAATACATCTATCTTCTATCTATCTTCCTTTTGGCTTAACTGATAGCTCAAATTCAGGTCTGAACAGCTTGGGCTTTTTTATATGAGGAAATCTGCATTAAATCAGCTCTTCAAATAGAGATATAAGCTGCAGGAAACATTTTTACAAAGGAGATGAAACAAAACTTGGAAGTCAATCATCTAACTGTAGTAAACATTTCTTCTCTTGCAAAGATAAACAAGAAAATTATAACTCTGCAATTATCAATTATGAAAGAAAAGGACAATTCCAATATTATGTTAGCGAGACTTAGTTACATTTTGCTAATCAATATTAGGACAGTAACGGGCAGCAACCAAAGCAGTTGACAGGAACAGAACACTGCAGATGAATAAAAACATTTTTATAAATCACAAGTGTATTACAGTATGTAATAATAGTATTAAAAATAACTAAAACTTATAGCATCTTCTAGTGAAAAGAATCCTATTATGTCAAACAGGATGCTGCTATGATTTTCAAACAGTAGAACATCTTCCACTCAAATTATGTTCTCTATCAAAGTACCTTTCAAAATATGAATTTCTAAAAAGACCCAGGGTGCTGGCACATTCAGCACGGCAGCCTGGCATAGAAAGGAGACATTTCCAAATACTACCTGCTATCAAGTGCAGCAGTGCATTTTTAAGTCAACTATATGCAAATTACATCCAATGTGAATACCACGTGCAAAATTCAACACATTAAAGTGGTCCTTCTCTTTGGAAAATGTCAGGATTCAAGCTTTCTCTAGAATTATTCTTTTGTAATCTTTTTAGTGTTGCCAGCAGAGGACAGGACGGGGACTGGACGCCTCATCATTTCCCCCAGTGTCCTCACAAAAAGCAGTGCACGAGATGAACGACAGAACTGAACTGTGCAACGTCTGTTCTGTCCTACGGGGCTCACTCTACGGATAACTCCACATAACCTCAGATGGCGTTGGGGATCAGTAACCACTCAACTGGGAAGCAGAAGGTATCTTATTTATTCCTCCCCGCCATCCAGCAGTCCAGAAAAAACCTCAAGAAATTTGATTATTGATTCTAGTGTCAGCCTACACGGCTGTTCCCTTGGCTGTTCCTCGGGCTTTATTGGGTATGCACAACCATGTCTTCCAGCTGGCATTCAGCATAATAAAGGCTGCTGGATTTCATGTCATGCCAAATGTCAGAGGTTATAGTTACTCATAACAGTTTAAATAATTTAAAATTATTATTTTCCACAGCTTTTCTGAAGCTTGTCTTTCAGATTGAAAAGTTAAATGACAAATATTTACAAACCCTTTACCTTTGGGTTAGGATTTGCTGTCATTAGTTATGTAGCGAGTTCATACAATCAGGCTTTGACTTTAGGTTTTAGAGACAACACCAGTTTATGTCAGAGGAAACACAGAAATTCAATATACAAGACTTAAAGCCCTTTCAAATCTAACTCCCAGCAGACTTAGGGTAGGCGGTTGCTGTTCAGATCATCTAGCATTCTTCAGTGCCCCATTTTATCACGGATATAAAATTTTTATGTTGACTTTGATGAGGTAGCTGCTTTTTCCAAGATAAAGATCAATGTCTTTTCCCTCCAAAATTCCAACGTATACACATTACAACTGTTTCATAACACAGTAAAGAAATCTGTATTGGTTAATAAAGATTAATGATCACTGAATATGCAGCATGAAATAAGCAAGGAAGATTTTATTTTTAAAGAAGCAATTTAAAAATAACAAAAAAAAATGTGCTGAGGCTGTTTACTCTAGATTTCACTCGCAAAAAATGGAAATAAGATATGTAGTGGTTTCAGGCTTATGCTCTTCTTCACTCTAGCTCCATTACTATTTGCTACACAAAAATATTTAAACAATTTGAAATTGAGCTCATATTCACATGCTCATAGTGATGTAAATAAATTAGGACACAAATATACCAGGAAAGGAAATGCACAATATAATAACTTATTGACATGTAACTATCTACTAGCAATCTCCTTCCTGTTCTCAAATGTACCTTCCTATCAGCCCTAGCCAGCTACACCCAAATATATGTCAGAGTATAAATCTATAAAAATACTGATAGTTCTTCAAATCTACACCACAGATTAGTTATGGCCTTGAAAGCTCTATACCAGAATACTCTAGGATGTCTATGTCAAGAAGGAAATTTGCATCCAATTATAAATGGGAGATATGTTTCCTGTACTTTAGAATGAAATATTTATATCCATGCTAGGGTTATGAGCTAGTGTCTTGGAAACAGGTTCCTCTGTGAAGAGCCAGTCGAAAATTCCCAGGCAGGATGGTTCTCAATCAGAGACTGACAACTCATCAAGATTGAAATACCTGAGAGAGATGATTTGATTTTGATGAAACCAGGCAGCATTACAGCAGAAAGGTTTTACAACGTGCCTAGTTCCCTCCCTGCTTACCAGCTGGGCTCCTAGGCAACCCAACAAGAAGGCAAGCGTCTAGACTTCAGGTGCTTCAGCCTATGTAGCAGAATAACAACAACCAGGAATGAGAGGCTCCAGAAGTCCAATGATGTCCAGCTTCTTTAAAGCTCAGTGGCATGAAGTCTACAAAAGAAACGTCTCAGTAGCCTGGCCCCTCAGTTTACTGGGAACTGCCATGGCATGGGATTTCAGGGTTCCCACCTCATTGTCAGACCACCTTTGCTGAGAAGCTGATGGACAGTTAGGAGACTAGATAGCCCCAAACCTGCAATCCCCAACTCTGATTCTGCCAACTCAGTCAAGAATTCCATGCTCTTATGTCCTCTTCATCTGACCAAATGGGAATATCTGATGTCTAAAAAGCCTGACAGCACTAACTTCAAGGTCCTTTGCTAGCAATTTCTTGCCAGCCTGAGCACCACCAGCTTTCAGGATGCTCTGCCCTGGAGCAGCCTGTCCAACAAACCGTTCCTGAGGTTACAGGTCGATCCCAAAGGTCACAATTCCTTCCTCTTTCAAAGAGAATTTGAAGTATATAGAAAAACTATTAATTGGCTAGCTGTGCACATTTTTCTTGATACTAAAATCACTGGATTTTTTTTTTCTTCTTAACAATATAGTTTACTAGCCTCTAGTGCAGTCTCTAAAAAGACTGAATAAAAACTCTGACCTGCTAAAGTAACCCTCCAGATGCCAATGAGAAGTTCACAATGGCTTATTCCCCTGCTTTTTCCCCACTGCTTAGAATACTCCATACTTACCATTTGGGTTGTCATTATATTTTGTGCTTTAAATTTGTAAAATAACCTTGTAAGTAATGACTTTCCTACAGTTCTCAGGAGTCTCTTAATTTGAGCTGCAAATTGTACCTTGCCACTTTTTGTTGAGTGATTTAGCAGTAAAAGACCTTTGCCCAGTGCCCTCGCTCTGCAAGTGCTGTTTCTCTTTTTGTCAGATTATTTTGTCTTT